TAGAACCCAAAGAGACCTAGAATAGCTGAAGCAATTCTAGGCAACAGATACATTACAGGGGGTATCACAATCACCAACATGAAACTATACCACAAAGCCACTGTGATAAAAACAGCATGGTGCTGGCAAAGAAAAAGACCTGAGGATCAGTGGAATGCATTGGAAGATACAGAAACAAGTACAGACGTACTCAGCTACTTCATATTTGACAAAGGAGCCAACCATCCTCAGTGGAGGGAAGATAGCCTCTTTAATAAATGGTGTTGGAAAAACTGGATTTCAACCTGCCAAAGATTAAAACTGGACCTTTATCTTTCAGCATGCACTAAACTAAAGTCCAAGTGGATTCAAGATCTAAATATTAAGAAAGAAACACTAAACTTGCTGGAAGATAAGTTAGGCAGAACTCTTAAAGACATTGGCATAGGAAAAGACTTTATGGACAAATCCTCAGTAGCATGGGAATTATCATAAAGAATAAACAACTGGGCTCTCATCTTTTTAAAAAGCTTCTGTACTACAAAAGAAACCACCAACATTGCTAAGAGACAACCTACAATGTGGGAAAAAAATTTTTTACCAGCTGCTCCTCAGACAAAGGACTATTATCTCAAATATATGAAGAACTCAAAAAAAGCAGTTCCCCCAAATATAACAACCTGATTCAAAAATGGGCATCCAAAATGAGCAGACATTTCTCAGGCAAAGAAGTAAAAGCAGCAAGTAAATATATGAAAAAATGTTCTACATCACTGCATTCAAGAGATGCAGATGAAAACAACACTGAAATTCCACCTCACCCCACAAAGAATGGCTGCTATTAAGAAATCACACAATAACAAATGTTGGCGGGGTTGTGGGGAGAAAGGAACCCTTCTCCATTGTTGGTGGGAGTGCAGACTGGTGCAACCACTATGGAAATTAATATGGAGATACTTCAAAGAGCTTGGACTGGAGGTTCCATTTGGCCCAGCTATCCCTCTGCTGGGTATCTTTCCAAAGGAATTCAAAGAATCATACCACAGTGATATATGTGCACCCATGTTTATAGCGGCATAGTTTGTAATAGCTAAAACTTGGAAACAGTTCAATTGCCCATCAGTTGGAGACTGGATAAAGAAGATGTGGTTTTTCCTATAAAATGGAATACTACTCAGCCATAAAGAATGGGAAACTAGAGTCATTCATAGGAAAATGGATACATCTTGAGGCCACACCCTTAAGTGACATAAATAAGGCACACATGTGTAAATACTGAATCGTTTCTTGGTGTGAAAAACTAAAAGTGTAAGTAAGATCCAAATTGTATCACTGACAATGTGAAATAGGAAAAAAGGGCTAAAGGTGTAAGGGAAGTGGGAAGGGTAGGGGAAAGAAAATAAGGGAAAAGAAAAAATATGAGAAAAGGAAATAATGGAAAGAAAGCTTTTGTAAATGGGGGATGGGGAGGGGGTAAAGGGGAGGTCAAGGGTATGAGGAGAAAATAAGAACCAAGATCAGTCATGTAAAGGTACAAGATCCCAGTGATAAATGTAACTGAAAAACTTCTAGTTTTTCACACAATGAACACTTTAAAAGTACCAATAAACTCAATAAAAAAAAAAAAGAAATTGTATCTATTTGGGGCTCGAGATATTTTTACACGGAACACATGCTTAGCATATGTGATGCTGTGGGTTCAGTCCCCAGTGTGCGTGCACACACACACACACACACACACACACACACACAGAAATTTCATCTATTCAAAGAAAATTCATCTTCCAAACTAGCCCAGTTCTGGGGCTTGTGCAGGTGGCAAAACTTTTTTTCTTTAATTACCTAAGAGAGAGAGTGTAATGTTTTGCCATGCTTTCCTTTCACCTAGAAGATGAGAGTTGTATGGAGAATTCAATCTTCACAATAACAGTTATCTCTCCTGAAACTTTACGCCTGATAATTTATGTACATTATCTTAAACACTGAATTTAATTCTTGGTAATTCGATTTTTAAATGAAATAAGCAATTAAAATCATTAGGAATAAAATACCACACACCAGGGTGCTCAGTTTAAGAACAAAAATGTCAGCTGGGAATGGTGGTGCATGCCTGTAATCTCAACACTCTGGGAGGCTGAGGCAGGAGGATTACAAGTCCCAGTGCATCTGGATCAATTTAGTAATTTAGGGAAAACCTCACCCAAAATAATTTTTAAAATAAGGAGCTGGGGCTGTAGCTCAGTGCAGACATCTTGGGTTCAATCCCCAGTCCCACAAAAAAGGAAAAAGAAAAGAAAAGAAAAAAAAGAAAGAAAGAAAGAAAAGAAAACAACAACAATAAAACAAAGAACATATATTGATATGACTGTACTCACTCCTTTTTTCTTCAGAGAGTGCCTATCCTGGTGGCTGCATGCACCATTACCATGCAGGTTTTAATGTTTTTATTACTATACATAAATGTTTTCTATGTGTTTTTATATATACATATTGTATTTTCATAAAATATAGTACTTTATGTTTTTTAATTTAAGGAGTATGATATTATACTTATCTTTCTGAGACTAGCTTTTTTATTTGCTCCATTTTAAAAGTATTCATATTGATGCATATAGCTATAATTTATTCACTTAAAAATATCTCTTGATTATCTGTATTCCCCACCTTGTCTGAGAAAATTACACAGGTACCTCAAAAATTACACCATTGTACCTCAAATAAGTAAATTAGAACTCTGACATCAACTGTAGAAAGAGAATGTCATTATTGCCAATTTATGGCTACAATGGCTCAGACAAGTCATGAAACTGAAAATGATGAACATTTATTTATTTATTTGTTTGTTTATTTATTTATTTATTTATTGTTTTGAGACAGTTTCTCCCGATGTCTTCAGGCTGTCCTTGAACTCAATTTGTAGTCCAGGCTTGCCTCACACTTGAAGCCACCCTCCTGCCTCAGCCTCTCAAAAACCGAGATGTCTTAGTTACTTTTGTCATTGCTGAGACAAAATCTCTGACAGTCAAAATAACTTTAACTCAAAGTTAAAAGAGGAAAGGTTTATTTAGCTCACAGTTTATAGAGGTTTCAGTCCATAGTCAGTCAGCTCCAAGGTAGGGTGGCACGTGGCAGAGGGGCAACAGTTCATGCTGGCAAAAGACAGCCAAAGCAACAGGAGAACCTTAACAGCATCTTTCTGCCCCTTTTATCCAGGCCACCGGGATTAGGGCAGTGACAAGCCAATTGGTGTAGCAGTTTAGTAACCACCCACCCTTAATCCCAGCATCACACACTAGATTCACATGACCACATGAGGCTTTGGGGGACATCCAGACACAAACCATAACATGGGATTATAGATATGTGGCATAACACCAGCCTTCTGAACTCAAGTTTTGTGGACTTGACACCTCAAAATTTCTTTCTTCCTTCTACATCCTGGTGAAAGTTTAAGGTATGAAAATTTAGTCAATTTTTACCTAATTAAAAAAAAGCTATGTATTTGGCTAGGAAGGTGGTAATCTTTGATTTCCAACTCAGAGCATGTTCAGATTCCTTCTGTAACATCAGCACACACACACACACACACACACACACACACACACACACACACACAAATACCTAAATAGTACAAAAAAAGCAGCAAGTTTCTGTCTAGTAGGCGATGCTGTTTCTCCAACTCTGGAATTCAAATCATAATTAAACCTTTTGCAAAATCTCCCAGTAGATTCTTGAAATTTTCAAATGGTTCAAAATGGAGTATAAAAAGATTGCTTTTACATTAGCACAGACGTGTTTCATGTATCTAGTGTGTACAGTTAGTGTCTGACAGATGAATCTCCAATTACAGACCTCTTATAGTCCTCGAATTTTTTTATTTTAGAAAACTGAAGAGATAATAAAGCAATTAAATCTGTTGCAATTTTGCACATGTCAGAACTGAGATCTAGTTGTGCAAACTTGTGTCCAAGGCCACAAAGCTACTTAGAGGCTACACTTTGGGAATTAAACCACTTCAAGCTGAAGGTCTTAGTTCAGCAAGGCTTCCACAATTATTTGTCACCAGGTGAATAAACTAAGCTCAGGACTGATTAAGGCATGCACAAATTCACATAGCTTATTAGGGACAGAGCCAGTCCTAGAAACAATGACAAGATTTTAAAAGTATATATATTTACTGGCCTTCTCCTATGTGAGAAATTCTCCACGAAACTTTTGTCATTATATGCTTCATTCAACATAGCTATTATATAACAAAATGTATATCCATGTTTGACTTGCAAGAGCAACTGTTATTCGTGACGTGTTCCCTGGTTTTGGAGACACAAGTCTGATATGATCCTCAAGAAAATTAGCTAAAGGGAATAGTTTTTGTTTTGAGTTCTATTAATTTTTCTTAACTTCTCCCTTATAAACTTGTTTTCAAGGCAAAAATACCATGGAAATTTCCCTTGCTGATTATAATGACATTAAATATGTTTAAAAAGTAATATGAAAACATTTGTTTTCATATGATCAATTTTGTCTAACCAATGACCAGACATCATACTAAAACAAAGTTTGAAGTCTTTCTAATCACACTGCCTCACTTTTACTTGAGAGTTTAGGAAGTTAGCAAGAAACATATTTCCTAATATTCAGATCTTATCCTTCTCTGTCTTGAGAACTGATCACTTTCTGTCAATTCATTGTGGCTTTATAATAATTTTTCATTCATTAAAGTCAAATATTTAATAAATAATCACTACAACCTTGACTTGACCTCAATTCTGGAATTTAATAAATAAGACTCTCATTCTGACCACCAAGATGACAATCAACAAACAACATCAGGACTGTGACAATAACAGAAGTATCATTTATGTAAAATAGATCTCTAATTAAAATCCAACCTTATAATAACAGGAAATTGTTTTCGCCAAATATTTTTTCTGAAATAAAATGCATAGCATTTCCTTATTAGTCTTATTTTTTAACAACTATGAAATTGAGATGTAAACTATTAGTTAGATCTTTCTGACCTCTTGTGGAAGATCACTTATGTCTCTGTTAACAGCCAGTTCTAGTTTCTCCAAGCTTGCACAATTACTTAGTTCCTTGGGGACGGTCTTGATTTTGTTGTAGCTAAGAATTAGTTCCTGAAGTCTAGTGAGCAGTCCTACAAGAAAATAATATGCAAGAGAGAGAAGTTTCTAGTTATTAAGAGTTACAGCACTAATGATTTGTATGTTGGCAAATTCACAGTTCTTATATTCTTCCCTTTTCCAGTTTGGGTCCTGTTCCTTCTTTGAACACGAAATGGGTTTATCAGTGGCATGGGAGAGGGGATAATTTCATTTTGTATTAGCCACACCACATACTGGGCCAGGGGAGTAGCTCAGTAGTAGAGCATTTTCTCAGCATGCAGAAGGCCCTGAGTTTAACACCCAGAACAACAAACAAGACAAAAAATACTGTACAATTTTTCTTTGGGGGATATTTCTCCCATTGTTCAGTGAATATTTCTATTTTTCTTTATTATATTTAACCTATCTTAACCTAGTTAAGTGGAGCAATGAAACCAGCAATACCATTTTCAAAATGCACAGAATGATGCTTCTTATGCAAATTCTCACACAATGAAATTTCATTTTGAATTACTTCAGTACATCTAAAAATTTGGATTTCCTGGAAGTTTCCATTTAGATTAAATATTTAAATTTGTCTCAAGATGCAGGAATATAGGAAGATGAGATGTTTAATCTATGTACCAAAAAAATCAATAAAAAGCCCCTCTGAGCCTGGCATGCCTGTAATCCCAGCTACGCAGGAGCCTGCTCTTCTCCCTCCCCAAATCTGAAGATAAATAAAATAGCATAGGAATAAAATTAGTCTTCTTTACCAATTCCTGGAGGGATCTCTGAAATAGTGTTTCGAGATAAGTCTAACACAATGAGGTTCTGGAATCTTCCAATGAATTCAGGAATTTTCAACAAACCAGTTCTGTGTAGTTGCCATTCCTGAAGCTGATTCAGTTTCAGTAAAGAAGAAGGAAGAGTCTAAAAGAAATTATAGCATTACTGTATTACTTAAATAATCTTTAAAAAATAATAATCTTCGCCCTATACCACACTGAAGTGTGATATTTGATTTGTAAAAGCATCTTGGAATAGTCTTTCCTTAATGGATTACATTTCCAACTAGTTTGTGTTACTTCTCAATTATACAAACTCTACTGTTTTTCTTCCTCGTTTTTATTTCTTTTTTTGAGACAAGGTCTTGCAATGTAATTCAGTCTGGTCTTGAACTTACTATGTAGCCCATGCTGGCCTAGAACTTGCAGCAATCCTCCTGCCACAGCCTCCCTAGTGCTGGGGTGACAGGCATGTGCCACCACACCTGGCTTCTTTTTTTATATTTTAAACCCCGATCGCCATAAAAATACCATATTTTGGTTAATTACGGACAGACGTAGACGTCTGTCCTAAGGATTCTATTCACTAGGCTTCCCTAGAATACATATGCTATTGAAAACAAATATACAAAAAATTATCTTAATTAGCAATTTAAGCCTTTCTTCTGTTATACGTTGTTAGAAATAAATACATACTACAGTAGTCAGAGAGGGACTGGACTCTCAAAGAAATTAGCAATTAGTCAATCAGTCCATCAGAATTGTGGCTGTAGGCCATCTGAAGAGTGCCAGGCCCAAGATAAAGGTGCATTGTCCAGGCCTGCATGCCTCTTTAAGGGATAAATAGTAGCTTGGAATTACATTGTAATTTGTACCACCTAGACCATTAGGTGCAGAGGCAGAGGTAGGTGACCAGAGCATCTGTACCCAAAATGCCTTTGTTCTACCAGGTACCCTTGCTACCTCACCTGTTTCCCTATTGGATCAATTAGCTAAGTGGCTGTACTTGTAACCTTACAGGCTGATTGTAGTTTGACCCACATTGTACCCACATTGTGACTTTGCTGTATAATTTACCCCACTCGAGACCCCTCCTGGAAATCCAGGAGCTATTCTTCTCCTATTTCCAATAAAACCCCTAACTGCTTCCTTTGGTTCACAGCTTCATTCCTTGATATTATGACACCATGAACTCAGCACAGTCGACATCTAACAAGTTGGGAGTTATTTTCTCCTACATCACTTTCACTGCTATTCTGAAGTATTTCATAAGAGGCTTTTTAAAGCGTTTTTTTTTTAATTAGAGATTTTAAGAGTTTCAGCTAATTTTAATGAATCTTATTTTTTCCCATTCCCCACCTCAAGCCCCCTCCCCTCCCTATGTACATTTATTCCATTTTTCATCCTATTTTCACCTTTTTTCTTGTCCTTCTTTCCTTTCTCCCTCCCTCCTCCCTTATTCCCTTTGCCATTTGAACACTTTCTTCCCATTTCCCAACATTCATTATGCCTTTCAGTTCACTTTCAGTTTCTCACACCAGAGAAACAGTGCAGTATTTAAACATTTGTGTTGGATTTATTTAATTGAGAGGATGGTCTCAAGGTCCTTCCATTTAGCTATAAAGGTCCCATGCTCACCATAGTACTCCATTTTATATATATATTTTTAAAACCCACATCTTTTTTATCCACTCATCTGTTGATGGGCATTTGAGCTGTTTCCAACATTTAGCCATTACAAACTGTGCTACTATGAACATGGGTGTGCATATATCACTGTGCTATGATGCTTTTAATTCTTTTGGGAAGACACCAAGTAGAGGTATAGCTGGGTCAAATGGAACCTCTAGTTTTAGTTTCTTGAGAAATCTCCACCCTGATTCCCACAATGGTTGCACCAGTCTACACTCCCATCAACAGTAGAGAAACGTTCCTTTTGAGTTTCAGCTATTTTTAACTCTGTCTCACTTCCCTTTCAGTGTAAAATAGACAGGAGAAAATAAATGAACTAACCACCTAGATAAATATATGTACAGTACAAGCGTGAAAATGAACACTGACCCTAAGATTAGAAATCTTTTTAAAAATTAGAGTATATCTAATGAAGTTAAGCAGCTGTGTGTCTGTGTGTATGTAAAGACAGAATGAGTATGAATCAGAAAGTATGCCTAATTAAAAAGATTTTCATTTTATGAAGTTTTAATTAAGCATTTCTTTGAAAAATCTATATGAGTTTCAATAGGTTTCATGTTATGGATAGAGAGAAAATACTTATTATAAGTACTAGGAAAAGAAATAATACAAATGACTTAAGGTTAGGGTTGAAACAAATTGAACTTCTGCCAAAAGAGTTGTGAAGTTGTGTTTCTTTTCTATTGTTCATGTTGCCTGAAACCATTTGGTGGATTATTCAAATTAGAATCTCTAATTGTTCCAGTCTTATTTATGGCCTCACAATCATTCTGTTAGCTCCACCAAATGCAAAAGATGGACAATCAATATTCTATAAAGTTTACCTTCCATTCTTCTTTCTCTATCTTCAGAATGACTCTTCCATCTTCCCTTGTGACTTTTTCTTTTAGCTTGGTTAAGCTAACTCGTGCTTCCCAGATCTGTACTATCCTAAGACACCAGGAATCATTTTAATTTATGGTGCAGAACGAAGTAGGTAACATTCACTTTTTTGTAAAAACAAAACAAAACAAACAAAAGGTCAAAAATAACCTGTAAACCAGCAGTCTCTGGAAATCAGATTAGACAGTGATGGCGAACCTTTTAGAGACTGAGTGCCCAAACTTCAACCCAACACCCACTTATTTATTGCGAAGTGCCAACACTGCCCCTTTGTGTCCCATGGGGCGACTTGGCTCCCTTGCCCACAGAGAAAGCTTTTCACATCTGCTGCGGCATGCATGCCATAGGTTCACCACCACTGGTTTAGAGTTTATTTTAATTTCATTTTAGAATTATAAAAGAAAGGCCACACCTAAGTGACTAAGATATTAACAGCTAAATAATCTTTCTTTGAATTTACAGAGAAAGTGACCTACAGAAAACATCACACAACATATGACACCATTTCTTAGCCTTTAGTCCTGTACATCAAGTAACAGTGTGTAAATTGCTGTGGGTTTAACTGGCAGCAAAGTAATTTGTCTGTCTGCAGAATTTGTAGGAACTACTCACAGGAAACCAAGGTTAACTGGCAGTGTTCTGGCCAGAGGAAAGAAAGGAAAGTGGCAGACATACGATCTGCTTGATGAACACCCCACCCAGCATTTCATCTCCCACCCATTTCTGGTGCACCACTTTCCCTCCCTACAAAAGTCCTTTTGCATATCTGAATTCTCTTAGATGGTCTTTTTTCTGAAGGGACAAACAGCCCTCCTCACCTTTTCAGGGTGCCAGCCATGAATAAGGCGGCTTTGCTTCTCATTAACTCTCATGTTAACTTCCCATTAACTCGGCTGTTGGCTTTGGAGCAGTGGGCAGATTGGGTCTGGTAACACCATTTTTCAGTTTGTTTTGGTGATGGGAATTGATCCCAGAGCTTTACACATGCTGAGTACATGCGCTTCCGCTGAACTATACTCCCAGTGCTAAGTTTTTGAGAAGGATCTAATTCTCCGTAGACTTTATTTAGAAGAGCTTTATTGAGATATGATTTGCATGCCATAAAATTCATCCCCCCTCCCTTTTTTGGTACCAGGGATTGAACTCGGGTCCTCGCAATTGCAAGGCAGGAGGTGGAACCACTGAGCTAAATCCCTAGCCCAAAATTCATCCTTTTAATGTGTACAGCGCAGTGATTTTCAGTATGTACGGCATTATGTAATCATCACTAATTTCAAAACATTTTCTCACTCAAAACTTTTGAGTTTTTTATATATGGCAGCATCCAAAGATAAGAATAATGCAGAGAAAGTTAGCATAGCCCCCATGCAAGGATGACATGCAAGTTTGTGGGGCATTAAAAAAGGATAATCCTTTACATCCATTAGCAGTCACTTTCCAGCCTCCTTTCCCCAGCCTGGCAATCACTGATCTACGTTTTATGTCTATGAGTTTGTGTATTCTGACCATTCCACGTGAATGGGATCACACAATATAAATTCCTTTGGTCTGGCTTCTTTCCCTTAATACAACTTTATTCAAAATTCACCCATGGCATAGCGTGTCTGAATACTTCATTTCTTTTTTCTTTTTTTTTTTTTTAATTGAGTTTATTGGTACATTTAGGGATACAGTACAGTTACATTCATTGTTGGGATCATGTACCTTTACATGGCAAGTCTTGATTCTCATTTTTTTCCCCTTACCTCTGCCCTCCCTTCACCCCCTCCTCCCCTCCCCATCTACAAAATTACTTCATTTCTTTATATGACAGAACGATTCCGCTGTATGGGTCTGCAACATGTATTTGTTTGTTCATTAGTTGATGGACATTTAGGTAATTCTGCTTTTTGGCTATTACAAGTGATGCAGCTATGAAGTGCACAAGTATTTGTGTTAATCATTAAGAAAAAATTCTAGAAGGTCATTGTTTTGGACAAAGCTCCTGAACCAAGCCCCAGCAAAGCAGACTAAAGTCATCATGCTGAGATTCCATTTCATCAAACAGGAAGTAAATTGTTATCTGACCTTCCCAAGAAATCAGGAGAGATAACCAGCTGCCAAATTTCCCATACAGGACAGTTTCAACTAACATGGTAATGAAGTTCTCTCTGCCTCAATCTTTACAGAAAAAAATGTAACTTGAAGTAACCTGATGCTAACCAGTCAGTTATTGTTTCTATTGTTCTTTCTCTTTGTCTGTGCCTGACAGGGAAAACAACTTTGAAATGACCAGTCTTGTTTTTGTTCTTTGTTTCTGCTTTTTTCAACAACCTTTTCTGGTCAGATCATCAAGGTATTTATTCTATTTTATGGAAAGAAGTGTCACCCCATTCTGAAACTGCAAATATACTTTAAGATTTGTAAACTAAAGTGTTGTGATTTTGTCCTTGACAGGTTATATGACTTTGTTTCTCTTGGGTATACTCTTAGGAGTAGAGCTGCTGGGTCATATGATAATTATATGTTTACCTTTTTATATAAATTGACATTAATTGTGGTCACTTTGGCAGCACATGTCAATAAATAGACCTTTATAGAAATCAAAAGGCTGCAAAATTTTTCAGTCTCTATCCTAGAAATTTTCTCACGTATTAAAAAAATAAACTTAGATTTATATATAACTACTGATCAGGAGGTAGAATGATTAAGTCTGTTAGTTCTGAGCCACTTGGAATTGATTAATTCTGAATTTCTGAGTACACACTTAGTACTTGGCCCTCAACATTCTGAGCACCAAATGATTAAACATGAATGCCAAACAGAACTGTTTTGTCACCCTTAAGTCAGCCTAACTCTTCCTGGCAAAAGCAGGATATGTAGTTGACACTAACACCTCTCAAATCATAATTTTAAATAGAATTTTAGAGTTAAATAATTTTAAAGAGTTCTGTGTTAAAGTTTTTAATTTATTTGCAATCTATACTGAAATGGTTTTTATGAGTATCCCTTATTTCCTTTCTTGAAATAAATTGTTATGAAAACATTAATATAATGAAATTTATCAAGGTTAATTAGAAAGAGAAAAATAGAAAGGTATTTATTGTTCTGTTTACCATAATTTAGAGTTCACATTTAAACTAGTACTTTGTTGTTTTATGTTCCTTTTTAACTATTTAGTGGTCCTCTCCCAAGCCATATGTTAAATCTTTTCCCCAGCCATATGTTAAATCAATCCTGAAATGTACTCAACTTCAAAGGCAAACATGCAGCACACTTGGAAATAATGTTTAGCTGTATTAAAAAAAGAAAAAAATAAATTTAGAAACAAAAATTTTGCAATTTTAGCTATTAGCATGATTTATAATTTAGAAAACAAGAAATCATCAAAAATGAAATATACATCATACTTTTTTTCTTTCATCGCTGGCACTGGGCATCTAACACAGGGCCTCCTGCATGGTGGACAAGCACTCTATCACAGAGCTACCTCTCCTGCCCTACTGTATTATACTGAATAGGAAAAGCTGAAAGTATTTTCTCTGAAATCAGGAAGAAAACAAGATGCCCATTTTCACCACTTCTATTCAATATAGTACTTGAAATTTTAGCCAAAGCAATTAGATGAAAGAAAAAAAAAGATACAAATAAGAAAGGGAGAAGTCAAATTATGCTTCTTTGCAGGCGATATGATCTAATATTTCAAAGTCCCTAAAGAGCCTACCAAGAGACCTTTACACCTCATAAACAAATTCAGCAAAATAGTAGGATACAAAGTCAACATTAGTGCTTGCTTCAGCAGCACATATACAAAGTCAATATTAAAAACCAGGTATGATGGCCCAGGTCTTTTATCCCAGCACTCTGGGAAGCTGAGGCAGAAGGATCACATGTTGGAGCCAGATTGGCCAATTTAACAATTTGGCAAAATCTTGTCTCAAAATACAAAAGAAAGAAAGAAGACAGACAGAACAAAAGAAGGAAAGAAAGAAAGAAGAGAGAAAAGAAAGAAGTCAACATTTAAAAAGTCAGTAATTCCAGCACCTGGGGGACTGTGGTAGGGGGATCATGAATGAGTTCAAGGTCAACTGGGGCTACATAGTTCAAACCTGGCCTGGACCACATAGAGACACCAGGTATCCCCCCTCCGACAAATGAACTGCTTTCCTTTATACCAGTGATGAACTATCTGAGAAAGAAAAAGAAATTAGGAAAACAATTCCATTTACAAAAGCTCTTAAAATAAATAAATAAGTAAACAAATCTCTAGGCATAAATCTAACCAAGAAAAAAAAGTTAAAAGACACTAGAAGTTGGAAAGACTTCTCATATTTGTGGGTCCATAGAAATAATATTGTTAAAATGGCCATACTCTGTATTACCACGTGTGATCTACAGATTCAGTTCAATCCCTATCAAAATGCCAATGGCATTCTTCACAGAAAAACAATCCTAAAATTCATATAGTAACACCAAAGACCCAAAAGTTGAGGGGAGGAGCGAGACTGGAGGCATCAGAATACCCAATTTCAAATTATATTACCAAGCCATCTTAACAAAACAACCAGGCCATCACTTGAAAGGTGAGGCAGGAGGATTGTCATGAGTTTAAGGCCAGCCTGGGCTATACACATGTTCAAGATCAGCCTGAATTACAAATTGAGACCCTGTCTCAAAAAAACAAAACAAAGCCATTGTAACAAAACAGTATGGTACTGGCACAAAAATAGACACACAAATAGTGGACTAGATGACACAGGAAAAAAATCATGTAACTACAGCTATCTGACTCTGACAAAGGGGCCGAAAACATACAGTGGAGAAAAGACAGGGTCTTTAACAAACAGTGCTGGGAAACTGGATATCCATATATAGAAGATTGAAACTAGATACCTATCACCCAACCTGTACGAATATAAACTCAAAATGGATCAAAACTTTAGGTACAGATTGAAAACTTTGAAAACGCTAGAAGAAAACAGGGGAAACACTTGAAGTCATAGACACAGACAGACTTCCTGTATAAGACTCTGAGTGCTCAGGAAATAACAAAAACCAACACACAGGAC